CACCGTGCGTAGCCGGGCGCGGAAGCCGCTCCCCGGAGGCCGCTCCCCGCCGCCAGCGGCCCCGACGCACCGAGCGGGCGGCGCGGAGCGAGCGCGACCCCGCGCGGGCACGTACCTAGGGGAGGGGCGCGCGGCGCTTAGCAACCGGCGGCACGAGCGCGCCGCGGCCAATCGGCGACCGCCGCCTGCGCACGCCCCGCCCACCTCTAGCCCCGCCCCACCTGGCCGCGCGCGATCCCGCCTTCCCGCGCGCCCTGCGGCCGTCCCTGGTGGAGCCCCGCCCACCGCAACACCCGCCCCTTTTGGCGTCGCTCCAAGCCCCGCCCCAATATCGGTTCCAGTCCCTCTCCCGTGCCTTAGACCACGCCCCCGCCTCCATACCGTGTGCCACGCCCCCCGTGTCTTAGGCCCCGCCCCGCGGCCCACGTGCGTTCCCGCCGAAGGCCGACCCCGGCGCCGCCTGGCCCCGGTCCCGCGGGCAAATATTTGCTCGGTGCCGCCCCGGCGCTGCCGCAGCGCGGGGACGCCGCCATGCAGCCTGTGCTGGGGGTCCTCGCCCTGGCCGCGGCCCTGGCCTCAGGTAGGGACCCGGGCCGGGCGCTGTGGGGCTCCCGTGGTGGCCGAGGGCGTGGGGCAGTGCGGGACCTTAGGCAGGACGTGGGGTCGGGATAGGAGCCTTCAGGACACTGCCCGGGCCTGCGGCACAGGGGGGCAGCAGGAGCTAGAGGCCTACAGCAGGTGCTGTGCAGGGACCCTCCTGCTCCATGGGACATGGGTCCATGGTCCTGTGCCCTGCGGGGCAGGATCCCACGCTCCACAGGACAGAGTGGGTCTGGGATCCCACACTCCACAGGACAGAGATCTCCTGCTCTGTGGGGCTGGACCCCGCGCTCAGCAGGGCCTGTATGTCCATGCTGTCTCTCCAAGTTCTTGCCACCCTCTGCAGGCCACCGTTCCCCCCTCAATGACTTCCAGCGCCTGCGAGCCACCGAGCTGCTGGCAGTGCCTGCAGACGCACCGCTGCCGCCGCCAGAGCAGGGCTCTGAGGAGCAGTGTGCCTGGCTCTGTGCCACCAGCCTGGCCTGCCGGTGAGCGGGACTGGGAGGGTCATGACACAGGGCTCACTCCGTGCTCTTTGCTGGGTGCCCACATGTGTGCCCCTTGCTCCTGCCCCTTATGGGTCCACGCCAGGCTCCCCCTGTGCCTCCCAGGGCTTTCCACCACAACCGGCAGAGCCAGCTGTGCCAGCTGCTGCCCTGGACCCAGAACTCACCCCACATCCAGCTGCAGAAAAACATCCACTATGACCTGTACCAGAAGAAAGGTGGGCTGATGCCATGGGTGAGCATGGGGACACCACAGACCAGGCATAGGGCTCCTCACTGCTCGTATGCTCTGCTTTCCCCAGTCTTCCTGCGGGACTGCATCGTGGCCAATGGCTCCAGTTACCGTGGCACACGGGCCGTGACGGAGAAGGGTCTGCGCTGCCAGCACTGGCAAGCCACAACACCCCATGACCACAGGTGCCTCCATGTCCCCAGCTGCTCCACAGCACCCACCAGTGGCCCCAGGCAGCTTGGGGCAAGAGGGAATAGGCTGGGGACAGCATGGTGGCAATAGAGACCGCGTGGGGGCAATGGGGACCATGTAGGTGCAGTGGCACTGCCCAGGGTAGCATAGCATTGGGCTGTGCCCACCCCAGGGCAAGGGTCTCCCCACAGCCCTCCTACCTCGTCTGCTGCCTGCAGGTTCCTACCGTCACCCCACAATGGTCTAGAGGAGAATTACTGCCGCAATCCAGACCAGGACAAGCGGGGCCCGTGGTGTTACACCGTTGACCCCAACATCCGACACCAGAGTTGCGGCATCAAGAAGTGTGAGGATGGTGAGTGCTGCATCCCAGGGGCTCCCTGTGGCCTGTGTCCCCCACACTGAGTGCCCCCTGGCTGTTGGCAGCCGTCTGCATGACCTGCAATGGGGAGGACTACCGTGGCACTGTGGACCACACCGAGTCAGGGACAGAGTGCCAGCGCTGGGACATGCAGCACCCACACAAGCACCCCTACCATCCCCACAAGTACCAGCTCCGGGCAGTGCGCAGTGCTGGGCAGCATGCAGCCCCAGCTGTGCCATGTGCTGGGGTGCTGGGACCACCGTCAACCACTGCTCCCTGTCTCTGCACCAGGTACCCTGACAAGGGGCTGGACGACAACTACTGCCGCAACCCTGACAGCTCAGAACGGCCCTGGTGCTACACCATCGACCCCAGGCGGGAGCGCGAGTACTGTCGCATCCGCCTGTGCAGTACGTGCCTGCTGATGTCACCGTCATCCGCGGCTGGGACCGGGTGTCCCGGTGCACCCTAACCGTGCCACTCTGCTCCTCTCCGGCCATGCAAGCAGAGAAACGCCCACGGCCCCTCAACGTCACCACCACCTGCTTCAGGGGCAAAGGCGAAGGCTACCGGGGACGGGTGAACATCACCGTGTCAGGGATCCCCTGCCAGCGCTGGGATGCCCAGGTGCCCCACCAGCACCACTTCACACCCAAGAAGTACCCCTGCAAGTAAGGGGGTCGGGGGGATGCATGTGGGGAGGGTGGCTGTGAGCAGCACCCCTGGGTGTGCGGTTGGGGGGCACCCATGCAGCCCCTCCACCAGGGACCTGCAAGAGAACTACTGCCGCAACCCTGACGGCTCAGAGGCTCCATGGTGCTTCACTGCCCGCTCCACTGTCCGCATCGCCTTCTGCTTCCACATCCGCCGCTGCCCTGACGAGCTGGGCGCCCAAGGTGAGCCAACCCCAGGCACCCATCTGTGGGGTGCTTGCTGTGGGTGCCAGCCCTCCCTGCCTGTCTCCAGAGTGCTACCATGGCCATGGCGAGCACTACCGCGGTCATGTCAGCAAGACACGAAAAGGCATCACCTGCCAGCCGTGGGCTGCCCAAACACCCCATGTGCCCCAGTGAGTATGCGAGGGAGCACACTGGGGTCAGTGTGTGGGGACAGGGATGGACACAGGGTTGGGGATGGAGATGGGTATATGGGGAACAGAATGGTGATGGTGACAGTGACTTGTTCGTGGCAGGATCTCACCTCTCACCCACCCTGAAGCGCACCTGGAGGAGAACTACTGCCGCAACCCCGATAACGACAGCCATGGCCCCTGGTGCTACACCATGGACCCCCGCACCCCTTTTGACTATTGTGCCATCAAGCCCTGCTGTGAGCCCCTATCCGCACCCCTGCAGCGCTAAGGGTGTCTCTGGTCACCCCCTAGGGTGATTTTGGTCCCCCCAGGATGGCTGGACCCTGCTGTAGTGCCAACCTGTGCTTTCTCTCCACAGCTGGCAGCACAGTGCCCTCTGTCCTGGAGAATGCAGGTTGGGGCCCACAGGTGCCGGGTGACTGCCATGGGGCAAGTGCTGGTGGCATGGCCCCATCTGACACCCACCGTGCCCGCAGACACAGTGGCTTTCAAGGAGTGTGGCCAGCGGGATGAGAGGTTGCAGCTGAAAGGGCGCATTGTTGGTGGCCAGCCCGGCAACTCGCCCTGGACTGTCAGCATCCGCAACCGGTGAGTGGCTCCCCAGCTCCCTGCCATGCAGCCAGTGTCCTCCTGGAGCTGACCCCCATCCCCACAGCGCCGGTGTGCACTTCTGTGGGGGAACCCTGGTGAAGGAACAGTGGGTGATCAGCACACGACAGTGCTTCTCCTCCTGGTAAGGCTGGGGCTGGGGTGTGGGGTGATGGGACCCCCCCATGTCCTCACATCCCCATCCTGCAGTGATGCTGACCTCACGGGCTATGAGGTGCACCTGGGGACTCTCTTCAAGGACCCCGGCCCTGGAGACCCAGACCTGCAGACAATCCCCATCACACGGATCGTCTGCGGCCCCTCTGAATCCCAGCTGGTGATGCTGAAGCTGGCGAGGTGAGCTGCCCCAGTCCCTCTGGTACCCCATGGCTGGCTAGGCTGCCACTACGTCCCACTGTTCCTCTCGTTGCTGCAGTCCAGCAACTCTGAACAGGCGCGTGGCCCTGATCTGCCTCCCACCTGAGCGCTATATTGTGCCCGCGGGCACCATCTGCGAGATCGCCGGCTGGGGGGAGACCAGAGGTACCTGCCATGGGCAGCCCCTGAAACAGCATCCCCTGCCCGACATCCCCTGCCTATGCTATTCCCCTGCAATGGCATCCCCTGCCGACAGCATCCCAAAGTTGATGACATCCCCTTCCTTACAGCATCTCCCTTCTGTGGCATTTTCCTGCCTGTGCCAGCCCCCTGCCCACCGCATCATCCCTGTCCACAGTACCCTCCTGCTCACTCCCTATCCACAGTACCCTCCTGCTCACTCCCTATCCACAGTACCCTCCTGCTCACTCCCTATCCACAGGACTCCCTGTGAGGGCACTCCTGCAAACATTACCTTCTATATTGTGTGCCCCCTGCCATGGTACCTGCCTGCCAGTGCCACCCCTGTGCCATGGCACCCCCCTGCCTGCGCCGTCCCCACTGCCGTGGCATCCCCCACTGGTGCCTCCCCTGCCCACAGGCACGGCGGATGGTGGTGTGCTGAACGTGGCGTGGCTGCCGGTGTTGGCCCATGGTGAGTGCAATGCAGCGCTGCGCGGACGCGTGAAGGACAGCGAGCTCTGCACAGCCCCGCTGCGCGCCGGTGTGGGGGCCTGTGAGGTGAGCTGGGCCCGGAGTGCTGCCTTGGGGGAGTCCAGGGTGCTGGCACCGGGGTGACGCTGCTGCCTGGGTGCCACAGGGGGATTACGGGGGGCCACTGGCTTGCCTCACGGCCGACTGCTGGGTGCTGGAGGGAGTGATCACCCCATCCCGTGTCTGCGCCCGCACTGACCAGCCTGCCCTCTTCATCCGTGTGTCGCTCTACGTTGACTGGATCTACAAGGTGATGAAGATGGGCTGAGCCGGCTCGGCCCAGCCTGGCACAGCCACCACCATGCAATAAAGGCACAGCCTTGGCCACGGCCATTAGCACTGCATAGGGTCTCTCATGTTTATTTAAGACCAAACCCCAGCTTGCATCCTATCCTGCCTCCAGCTACACTTGCTTCATCCTTCTCTGGTCCTGGCATGGTCCCCAGGGCCAGTGGTCATCCTTGGGGCTGGCACAGAGGCAGGGTCACCGTGGGTGCTGGGGGCTGTGCTCTCCTGTCCTGTCCCATCAGGGCAGCCCCATGTGCTGAAGGAGCCACTGGGCGCAGTTCTTGAAGACATCGGCCTCCATCTCCACGCCGGCTAGTGCATGGCCACCCTGCGGGTACCACAACAGCCTGCAGGGTGGGATGGGATGGAATAGAGGGGGATGCTCAGCCGGCACCTCCCTGCTCTATCCCCCTATTCCCCACTCACCGCACGGGCACCCCCCTGGCCCGCAGCACCCGGTAGAGCTCCAGCGCCTGCGTGGGGCTGACACGTCGGTCCCGGGCACCCACACACAGCAGCACTGGTGTCTGCACCTGCAGCACACGCAGCGGTGAGTGCCTGGCACCCTGCCCCCTGCCCTCCACACCCATCCTGCCCTGCCTTACCCGTGCCGCCTGGGCAATGGGAGAACGCAGCAGCATGGTGGCCACCTCCTCGGCACGTGGTACCCGCTCGAAGGAGTAGGGCAGCCCCAGGGAGGTGTAGCGCCTGTGGCACAGTGTGCTGGTGAGGTGGGTGCTGTGGGGACCAGGGGGAGCACGGCACACACTCACCAGTCAGGGATGTCGGAGGTCCCAAGCAGTGCAGGCAGGTTGGAAACAGGACTGCGCAGGGCACAGGCTCGGTAGCGCTTGGGCTCACGGGTGAGGAGGTGGAGGGCGATGAAGGCTCCATGGGAACCAGCCAGCAGGGCCAGGCGGTTTGGGTCCAGGGGCTCACTGTGCAGCACCTGCTCCACTGCCAGCTGCATCCATGGGCACCCACCATCAGCATCCTCCCAGCAGACCCCACCAGCAGCACACCTCCATCAGCACCCTCCACCCCTCCATCCCAGTGCCCCTCACCTGGGTGTCCGCCACATCCTGTTCACCCACTCGGGACAGCAGGGAGCTGATGCTGGCCTGGCCAAAGCCCAGAGAGCCACGGTAGTTCACTGGGGAGATGGGGACCATGGGTGTGGTGTCTCCAGTGAAGTGCAGTGGCCACATCCCCAGACTCCCCAGCACTCACCCAGGAGCACGGCAAAGCCCAGCCAGCACAGCGCGGCCATGCCTGGGCGCCAGCGGGCATCGAAGACAGCATGGGGGCCACCTGGGGCCAGTGGGGATGTCACCCAGGTGCCACCAACACTGCCAGGGTGTCCCCACTGTCCCCTCACTCACCATGGGGACACACAACGAGGGGGTGCGGTGCCATGCTGTCTGGTGGGCTCAGCAGCAGGGCCTCGAAAGCCTGGGTGCCTGGGAAGGGGTGCCGCTCAGAACCCCCCACCCCAGGACCCCTACCCTGGTACCCCCCATCCCGGGTATCCCTGGCACCCAGGCAGCACCCAGGCACATCAGGGACCCCCGGGCACTCACTGTGCACAGCTGCGGTCTGCCCACTGCAGGGGGGCCGGACCGTCAGGGTCTTCCAGGTGACACCGGGCACTATTGGGGTGTCCTCCACCGGCACCCAGCGAAGGGGCAGCTCCTGGCCCGCCGGTGGCAGCACCGTCACTACCTGGGAACCACAGTTGGTGGCATCGGCACTGGGGCAGCTGTAACAGCCCCCACTGCAAGCCCAGTGCTCTGGTGCTGCCCTGTTCCATGCACAGATGTGCTATGCCATGCCTAGTTACACAGCCCTGTGCCATGCCGTGCTGCCCTTGGCTGTGCTGTGCTGTACCTGGCCCTGGCATGCAATGTCAAGCTTTGCAGTTCCTCGCCACACCGTGCTCTGCAATGCCATGCTGTAGCTGGCTGTGCTTCACCACACTGTGTTTGACTATGCCATGCAAAGCTGGGCCATGTCATGCCAAGGCTTTGCAGAGCTATGCTAGACTGGATCTGGCTATGCCATGCCATGCCATGCTGCATCATGCAATGCCATTCAGGATCTGCCTGTGATGTGCCATGCCATGCCATGCTGTGCTGTGTAATGCTATGCCTTGCTGTGCTATGCCTGGCCGTGCTTGGCTGTGTCATGCCATGTTATGCCACACCATACGGAGCCCCACCGCACTTTGCCATGCCACATCATGCGGTGCCAGGGCTCTGCTCACCAGGCTAGGGGGGTGGTGTGGTGCTGAGCATGTGGCTACCAGCAGGTCCCACTGGAGGGTGAGCAGCTCCCAGCACCCTTCGGGCGACCCTAGGGACAGAAATCACATTAGTGCTTGCAGACACTCACCTGGGCACTGTGGGCAACCAATGCCACGTACCTGCCGTCAGGTTGGTGACGGTGGCTGCCTCCGTGTCCACCAGCAGCAGGTCCTATGAGGGGCAGAGCACAGGCAGCTGCATCACTGCAGGGCGCAGGGACCACATCCCCATCCCTGCAGTCCCTGGGGCTCACAGTGCGGCTGCGCTGCGGGGTGCCCAGCACAGCTCGCCGGCTGTCGGCTGCCCAGCACTGCAGTGGCAGCACCTCTGTGAACAGCCCGGCGAAGGCTGCAAGGAGGGCAGAGTGTTAGTGAGCAGAGCCATGGCCACCCAGTGTGGGGGGTCCAAGCCCCCAGCAGCACTCAGCCCTGCCCACCGTGTAACACTCACCCTCTGTGGGCTCCTGCACTACATCGAGCACCATCAGTGTCTGCCTCGTCTGCCAGGTGAGCTGCAGGGAGCCAGCAGTCAGGGATAGAACCATAGAATAGTTAGGGTTGGAAAGGACCTTAAGATCATCCAGTTCCACCCCCCCCCCCGCCATGGGCAGGGACACCTCACACTATAAACCATGTCACCCAAGACTCCGTCCAACCTGGCCTTGAACACTGCCAGGGATGGAGCATTCACAACTTCCTTGGGCAACCTGTTCAGTGCCTCACCATCCTAACAGTAAAGAACTTCTTCCTTATATCTAACGTGGACTTCCCCTACTTAAGGTTAAACCCATCACCCCTTGTCCTGTCACTACAGTCCCTAATGAAGAGTCCCTCCCCAGCATCCCTACAGGCCCCCTTCAGATACTGGAAGCTGCTATGAGGTCTCCACGCAGCCTTCTCTTCTCCAGGCTGAACAGCCCCAACGTTCTCAGCCTGTCTTCATACAGGAGGTGCTCCAGTCCCCTGATCATCCTCGTGGCTTCAACAGCCCCACGTCCTTCTTACGGACAGTCCCCCACCAGCGAAACCAAGGCATGGGGGCACCGTGAGGGGCTGTGATCCCAGGCTCGGTACTGCGCCGCCATGCTCACCATGCGCAGGCACAGGCACTGCCGATGCGGTCCCCCCACGCCACCCTCCAGGTAGAGCAGGCGCCGGCCGTCGGGGCTCAGCCGTGGGGAGAAGGCAGCTCTGTGCTCGGCTGACAGCAGCTCTGTGCGAGGCAGGAGGTCAGCACCTCAGGGACACAGGGACCCCCCCTGCGGCCCCGGTGCTCACCGCAGCTCCTGCTGCTCAGGTCCAAGTAGAAAATCCCTGACCTGAAGAGGAGGCGTGTGTCAGGATGGAGCCCCATGACCATGCTGAGCCCCACTGTGCCAGCACAGCGTGGGCATCCCAGCCTGGCGCTGGGAGCATGGGGGGACCCACCTCCTGTTAGAGCAGGCGTTCAGCCCCAGGCGGAAGGGCTCGTGCCACCAGCCCACGAACACCACACCACTGTCACCCGGGGACCACAGGGCCTGTGTGACAGCCAGGCTTGTCCCACAGCCCCAGGATGCTTCCCCCAGGGCTCTCCCTGCACCCTGTCCTGACCTGGCCAGGGGAGAGGTGCTCTGGGATGCCCTCCAGCACTGAGAGGCTGCTGCTTTCCAGGTCCAGGGCGCAGAGGACAGGCACGCTGCGGGTGCTCAGTGCCTCCCCCCAGTCCTCGTGGTACACAAACTGCTCCTTGTCCTGTGGCAAAGACCGCCCGGTCCCATGGTTGGCAGCCCCAGACATGGAGCTCAGCATGGCATGCTTGTGGGGTGCATAGCATGCTCATAGGGTATGTGTGATGCCGACGAGGCATGGGGATGCTCACAGCGTGCATGGCACACTCACAGGGTGCATACCACAGTCATAGGGTGCACACTACTCTTATGAGGTGCATGGCACGTTTGTGGGGTTCACAGAGTGCTAGTGGGGCATGTGCCATGCTCACAGCATGCACGGCACGCTCACAAGGTGCACGGCCTTCTCATCGGGTACACGGCATGCCTATGGCATACACAGTGTATTCATGGGGTACACAGCACCCACCTCCTCATCCTCGACCTCCTCCGGCGGCCTGGCTGCTCCTGGCACATCCCAGGCGCAGGGTGCCCATCGCTTGGGTCGGCTTTTCTCGGCCACATAGAGCAGCCGTGTCTCCGAGTGGGACCAGGCCAGGCAGGCAAAGGGCCCTGGCACAGTAAGAGGGTGCCAAAGACCAGCCTGGCACAGGCACAGCCGGGTACCAGGCAGGCAGAGGCCACTGGCCATGCCACCCTCGCCTGTGTTGTGGGCAGGGTTGTGGGGAAGGGGCCCTACCCTCTGTGTAGACCTCCCCATGCTTCCCCAGCGCTGTGAGGTCCACGCTGTGGCTGCGCCCACTGCTGCCCCACACCTGAGGGGATGGGGGTCAGCACCAGCACCCCAGAACCATAGCACCCACTGCCCCCCGCTGGCACTGTAGCCACCCCGTTGAGCCTGAAGCTGCTGTGACTGGGGCAACCCTGTTACCTCTAGCAGCTCATGGCCCTGCCGTGGGCAGCGGCTGAGCACGGCGCGGTGCTGCCCGGTGGGTGAGTCCCGGCTCAGGAGCCTGAGGGTGGGAGGGAAGGAGGCTGCAGTGGGCACAGGCCATGCCACAGCACCAGCCACACTGCCCCATCCAGCAGCCTGCGTGTGCCGTACTGGTTGTTGATCTCGGCGCTGAGCGCTGCCCGGCTGACAGTGAGGCCGCCATTGCCGGTGCGGTGCAGGCTGTAATGGCGGCTGAACCGCAGAAGCCGTCGGCGGGGCAGGTCGGGGCGACTGCACTCTGCGGGGCGGCACCATCAGCACCCACCGCACCGCACCGTGCCAGGCCCACCGGCCCACAGCACCAGGGCACCGAGCCCATGACTCACCGGTGTAGAGCTGGAAGCTCTGTGCCCCTGTGGCGGCCCCGAGCGCGGCGCCCGTGACAGCTGGGAACTGGCTCAGCTCCCGGTAGCAGGCGGTGGGGCTGCGGGCAGCCTGGCCGGGGAAGGGGCAGAGCTCACCCCTCTGCCCATGCCCACCCTCCCGAATCAGGGCTGTGCCCTCCCGTGCAGCCCCTCCTGAGCTCCCTTTGCCCACCTCTGTGCCCTGCTGGGTCCTGGAGGCCATGGGACTGTGCCGTGCCGTGCTGCTGGTGCCGGCCGCTCGGCCAGGGCAGGCTGCCAGGGTGTGTGCAACAGCCTGGAGCGAGGGGCACGGCAGGTGCCAGCCGTGCCCAGGCAGGGTTCACCCTGCGCTGTGTCACACCACTGACCTGCCCTGGACAAAGGCCCAGTGGCTCTGAGCTCCCAGGGCACTGGAAGCAGAGGTAACACCAACACCACCACCGTCACAGACACCGGGCTGCTGAGCTACACCGTTTATTGGGGTGAGGGGGGCAACGTGGTGGTGGCTGTTAGCACCGAAGGTGCTTGGACAGCCACAGCGCTATGTTCATGAAGCCGTCAGCTTCGGCCTCAACGCCCGCCAATGCGTGGCTGTTCCCTGGGTACCAGAGCAGCCTGCAGGGGAGAGGGGGGTTAGTGCTGTGCCTACACCCCACTGCCCAGGCACCCTGCACCCCACTCACCGTGTGGGGACACCCCGGGCCTTGAGGGCACGGTAATACTCCAGCCCCTGCCTGGGGGGCACACGCCGGTCGTCCTCTCCAAGCAGCAGCAGCACAGGGGCACGGACCTGTGGGATCGGCACAGCCTCAGCACCGGCTCTGCTGCTGGGGATGGGGACAGGGATGGTGATGTACCTGGTTCACGTAGCGCACGGGGGACTTGTGCAGCATCTCCGTCCACTGGGCTGGGTCTGGGAGTGCATCGGGTGCATAGGGCAGCCCCGTCTCTGTCAGGCACCTGTGGGTGAGAGGGACGGGGATGCACGCAGGGCTGGGGTGCAGGCAGGTGAGGGCGTTGGTACTCACCAGTCAGGGATGTCGGTGGTGCCCACCATGGAGGCAATGTTCACCACTGGGTTGCGGACCACGCAGGCGTGGTAGGTCTCGGGGAACTGGCCCAGGAGGTGGCACGCCAGGAAGCCTCCATGTGAGCCACCCACTAGTGCCACCCGGCTGGCATCCAGCGCCTCCTCCTGCAGCACCCGCTCCACACAGAGCTGCCACCGCGGGGGATACCCGTGAGGCAGGAAGATCTGCTTCCCCTCCGCGGGGCACCCTGGGAGCTCAGGGGGCTGCAGGACTCTATTGTCAGGGCCATACCTGCACATCACGTACATCCTGCGTGCCCACGTTGCCTGGCAGCGAGGCCACACTGTCCTGGCCAAAGCCCAGTGAGCCACGGTAATTCACTGGGGTGGGAACGGGGCAGCATCAGAGCCTTTCCTCCCCCTGTCCTGGGCACACTGTGAGTGCTGTGACACCCAGCAGTGCCCCAGAGCCCTTGTGTCACTCACCCAGTAGCACAGCAAAGCCCATGCGGCACAGTGCCGCCGGGTACAGCATCCACCCAGCTGTGAAGACAGAGTGGGGACCCCCTGCAAAAGGCAAAGGTAAAGGTGACACTGTGTGGCCAGGGCAGGGGCCAGAGCCGGGCAGGGGCAAGCTCTTACCATGGGGCATCACAACCAGGGGCGGTTTCTGAGCAGCAGGGCCCTCGCTTGGACGCAGGAAGATGGCATCGAAGTCCAGGCCCGCTGTGGAGGCAGGGTGAGGGGCGGCAGGGTTCGGGGTGGGTGGTGAAGCCCAGCCTGGCCCCACAGCACTCACCATACTGGGGGTTCTCCTGCTCTGGCGGGGGCTGCAAGGTGCGGATGCCCCAGCTGATACTGGGCACAGGGGGTGCGTCCTGCAGGCAGACCCACCGTACCTGCGCCTCCTGGCCAGCCTCGGGCAGCATGGCCACTTTCTGCATGGGAGAAGGTGAGCGTCAGCACTGAGGGGCTGGTGGGCACTGAGGAGGGAGGGGGACATCACCTTACCAGCGCTGGGGGGCAGCTAGGGGTGGAGAAGCTGGCCACCAAGATGTTCCGGTCAATGGTGAGGACAGACCAGCATCCCTGGGGGGCATCTGGGGAGGAGAGGGGATCGGACCTGCAGACGTGACCACCTACCCTGCCCCAGCACTGGGATGGTGCTGCTGGCCCCCCACTCACCAGCAGTCAGTGAGGTTGTGGCGCCCGTCACCGTGTCCACCACAAACACGTCCTAGGGGCACGAGGGCAGAGTCCAACAGAGCCCTGACGTGTCTCAGCTGCCCTGTGCCCCGCAGTGCCGTCCTAGCATGGCAGCCCTCACCTGCTGACTGCGCTGGGCCGTATCCAGCACGATCCTGCGGCTGTCGGCCGCCCAGCACAGCCCTGGTAGCACATTGTAGATACCCGGGAAAGCACCTGCAATGAGAGCAGTGGTGCTCAGCACCGTTCTGTGACCCCCCTAAACACCCTCAGGGCTGCACTCACCCCACACTTGCCGCGGCACCACCTCCAGCACTGTGCTGGTCTCTTCGGTGTACCAGTCGTACTGCAGGAGGCACAGCACAGGGCGGGTGTTGTCCCCACTAGAGCTTTAGAAGGGGGTCACACTGCCCTGCTGCCAGCCCCCCCTGCAGCACGGGCACCACACCGGTGTCCCACTGGTGCTGCTCACCATGCGGAGCCGGCTGCACTGCTGGTGGGGGCCCATGGCATCATTTTCCAGGTAGACGATGCGGCAGTGATCCGGGCTGAGCCGCGGGGACCACACAGCCTTGGTGTCCTCGGAGAGCAGCTCTGCATGGGCACGAAGACACGGTGAGGCACTGCTCGGAGCCGGGGCACCTGCGGAATTGGGGTACGCGCTGCTCACCGCAACTCCCGCCCGTCAGGTCCACGTAGAATAGCGCTGACCTGCCGGCAGAGATGGGTGTCACCATGGGGCTGGGGGCCCTGGCTGTGGGGCAGGGTGCCCTGTAGGGACTCACCGGCGGTTGGTGCAGTGCCGCAGCCCCAGGCGGAAGGGCTCGTGCCACCAGCCCACGAACACCACACCGGTATCACCAGGACACCAGAAAGCCTGTGGGGAGAGGAGAATGAGCAGCTTGCACTGCCAATGGCCCCCAAAACCTCCCTTTCTGTGTGTTCCCCATCCTGACCTGGCCAGGGGAGAGGTGATCCGGGATGCCCTCCAGCACTGAGATGCTGCTGCCCTCAATGTCCAGGACGCAGAGGACGGGCACGCTGCGGGTGCTCAGTGTTTCCCCCCAGTCCTCGTGGTACACGAACTGCTCACCCTGCGCACAGCCCCGTCAGCCCCATCGTCATCCCACTCGTCACAGTCTGCATCAGAGTGGGGGGACCCCACCTTGAGAGGTTCATCCTCCTTCTTTGGCTGCTCCATGTCCTCATCTGAGACATGCAGCTCTTTTCTCTGGAAGAAGGACTCAGCCTTGGGACGCTTCTTCTCCGCCACGTAGAGCAGGTGGGTCTCCGAGTGTGACCAGGCCAGGCAGCCAAACTCATCTGCAGAGGTGGGTCAGGCACCAGTCACCCCGTCCCCCCATACTCCACATCCCCCAGACCCTCACCATCATCATAGACGCTGCCGTGCTTGTCCAGCGTCGTCAGGTCGATGCTCTTCACCTTGCGGTTCTGATCCCAGACCTGGGGGCAGAGATACGGAACAGCCCCAGGCTTCAGTGTGGATCCATCCCCAAGCCCACGGAGTACCCAGGCCGGCCCCGTTCCCCCTCTCACCTCCAGGAACTGCTTCTCCTTCTTCTCCTTGTTGGAGACCTTGCGCAGAACAGCCTTGAGGGCCCCGCTGGGGGACACCTGGCTCAGCAGCCTGTGGGTGCATGGGTGCCCATCAGCCCCCCGCCATCAGCACCCCGAGGGGATGCCAGCGAAGGGGGGGATAGGACGAGACTCACTCGCCCTTGATCTCGGAGCAGGTGCCGGTGGGTCCCGAGTAGACGATGGAGGCCCCGTCGTGGAAGATGAGGTACTGGCGGCAGAACCTGATGTTCTCAGCCCGCTCCAGGTCCCGCTGCAACCACTCTATGAGAAGTGGGGTGAGCTCACCGGCCGCAGCCCCGCCAGGCAGGCAGGGACCCCCCGGACCCCCACCTCACCCCCGTACCGGTGCTGAGGCTGCAGTGCTTGCCCCCGTACTGGGTGGTGACATCGGGGCCGAGGCTGGCGGTGCTGAGCCCCGGGTGCCCGCTCAGCTCCCGGTACAGCTCCACCATCTCCTCCGTGATCAGGGGCATCTGTGGGACAGCCACAGGGTGGCTGGGGGACACGGTGCAGGGCGGCGAGGACCAGGGCATGGTGGGGTGCAGGAGGGTGCACGGGGGATTAGGAAGGTCCTGGGGCACTCGCTGGGGTACACGGGGGGACGAGGACGGCACTGGGGGCACTCACTAGGGCACGGAGGGTGTACGAGGGTGGAGGGGCGGTGACTGCGGTGCTGGGCAGCCCCGGGGAGCAGAGCCAGGCTGGACCCGGGGCACCGCGGGCAGGTACCGGGGTGCAGCCCTGGCGGGAGCTGGGCCGGCGGGGTCCCGCGCAGTGACGTCACGCGCGCCCCGTCCTCCCCCCCCCGCAGCCCCTCACCGGTGACTCCACGTCGCGGCGGCAGAGCGGGGGCGTGGCCAGGGCCAGCACTTCCGGGATAGAGGGGTGGGGCCTGGGGACTGCGGCGCCTCCTATTGGCTGCGGCGCTGGCCCAACCTCCCGCGTTGAGGCGCCCCCTGGTGGGCACGCGCGGCGCCGCCACCGCTGCCGCTGGAGGTGCGGGGTTCGGGGCCGCTGCCGGCCGGGGGCACCCGTTCACCGCGGGCCTCTGGGCCGCCCCGGAGCGGTACCCCCGGCAGGCGGCTGCAGCGCTGAGGGTCGCTCCGGATGCAGGCTGAGGAGATCGGTCCCCACCGGGACCCCCATCCCGCCGGTGCTGGGCACCGGTCAGACCCGCACTCCCAGCCCTGCCGATGTCCCGGCTCCCCCCCGCCACTCTCCGCAGGCAGGAATCGGGGCCAGTCGGTGGTTTGTGTCAAGTCCTTTTTATTCTGTTCCCACAGAAACACCTGGTGAGGGGGCAGCTTCTGGGAGGGAGTCACGACACAGCGGAGGGGCGGCACGGCACGGTACAGCACGGTACGGCACGGAACGGGGTCACTACGGGTGGCACAGAGCACAGCAGACACGCACACCGTCACAATGTTCAGAGGGAGCGCACCCGGCATCGCGCCTACTGCTGCCAACGGCGCCCGGCCCTTCGCACCCTCCGTCCCCCCGC